TGAAAGCTGTTCAGCAGACTGTGCTGGTAATAGGTTTCAGAAAGTCATCAGTAAAAATAAACATAGGAGATAATGTGGTCCTTGATATGAGTCTCTAATAAAAAGGGGAAGTCATACCAGGCAGGAATTTTGCCTACTATTTATCATCAGCATTCATAGTATGTTCCCCAATAAATTGGAAAACACTGTGTGATTTACCTTCAGCATTCTGACTGCGTGTCACTTTGTTTCCTCAGTAATCTCCTAACTGAAAGAAAATCTGCATGTGTTTTCATGTTATATCTTTGATTTAGATGCTGACGGACAAGTGAGCGTGAAATTTGGTGTGCTCTTTGCTGATGAAAAGTGTGCCAACCTCTTTGAAGCCCTAGTGGGAACTCTTAAGGCTGCGAAACGACGGAAGATTGTCACTTATCAAGGGGAGCTACTTTTACAAGGCGTTCATGACAACGTTGATATCATGCTACTGCAGGACTGATGCAGTCTTTCAGCTATGCATTAATAGAATTGTTTGAGGCAGTGACTTGCAACATCCTCTGAATAAGGCCAATCATGCTAAGATGTTTTTACGTGTTTTCTATATCTTTACAGTCAAAAGGAAACTGTCCTATTTTGGAAAACATTCCCTTTTGTAATTCTTCCTAAAATGGTACTGTACATGAGTAAGGTAAAAGATGCCAGATCTCAATCTTCCTTTGTTTTTTTGTTTTTTTAATCTCAGGTAATGCTCTCAAATGTCTGGTGGTTATTTTTAACATATGAAGAAGCAGAAGGGGACTGGTAATTTAATGTTTACAAATCAAAATGTGCCATGAAAGTATAAAATAAAAGCACATACTTAAATTTATGCAACTCTTATTGCTGTTGCTTCTCTTTTATTTGCAATCTGAAATGAAAGCAACCCAAATTCCTGTAAGGAACATAGTTAAGTAACTGTTCAGAAAGCATGACAGTGAGATAGAAATAATTTTGCAGCATGATTCAATTGAAGAATGACTGTCCTTTGGAGCGACCAGATTGCGCACAAAAAGCCATGAATGATAGATGTAATGCATTCATCTCTGGCGTTTTTTTGTCCTCTAGATTTTTGAAGGAAGTGGGTGAGGAGCTCCCTTGAATGCTTTCATGCAGTGTTAACCAGAAGATGGTACAGCAGCTTCAGGTTGTGATTATTTTCCTCACAGAAATATATACTCTCTCTAAATCACTCCAGGCAGAAAGTAGGAGGGGAGGGAAAAAAAAAAAAGTCCTTTTGATTGTGTTCCAGCTTAGTGCTAATTCTTTTTAGCTTCCTCTAGGTAGGAAGAAAGAGTTGCTGCATGGGGAAAGCAGCAGTGGGTAGGCAAACTGCTTACTGCTCTGTGCTTCCGGGCTGTGGCTGCGGCTCTTAAAGTTGCAGGATGGGTGAATTTCCTTTTACTTAGCTGCCTTTTACAAGTACAAAATGCTTGAAAAGTGTCGTCTTATTTCCAGATACAGGACATGCAGGCAGGGTTATGGAATCTCTACAAAGCTGTGTAATTCCAGCTGTTGCCCCTTTCATCTTTGTTTGCTCTGCCTTGTGCAACAGGAAAACAACTTAAATCCTGTGTGCAAGCAGATCTGGGCTGCCTCTGCCTGTGCTGGCCCCAGAATCTGGAGAGCAGGGAAGTGATACGCAGAGAAACTTGAGCTGTCTGGGTCCAAGCCAGCTGGAGCAGAGAAGCAGAGCAGGAGCTCACCACAGCTTTACTGGCTCCAGTGCCCTATCGCTCAAATGCAGCTATTCTGCTTCCAGATCTGAGCCGACAAGTGCCTGCACCCCTGCGCCCCACAGGTGGAAAGAAGGCGGACCGAGACCCAGGCCTTGGGCATTAGGGGTGAGACCAGGCAGTTCTGCGTTACCAGATAGCCGCAGTTGTTTTTAACTCTGCCTCTTATTTTGTTGGCAGCCTGAGTCATTGTCTGGGTTCGCAGGATAGCCCGAGTATGCCGACAGATACCGAGCGCTTTGCGATTGTCTGAGATGCCAGTTTTGGTATGGGAGACCACCAGCCTGCCCCAGCCAGGATACAGTTCTCTGTAGCTGTTCACAACGGCTCTTTCAGCACTGAAGCAGCCTCTATCTTGGAAAATTTAGGTACCAGTGAATTTAAGGCTCGGTGCTGGGTTGCAGCTGAGATGGGACTATGAAGAGACCTTTATGTCTCTCTCATTTTGGATTTCTCCTCTTAACAATGCTAATAAATGTATTCTTGTGTAGCAAGAGACAGAGCAACTTGGCACGAAAACAAATCTGTTACAAACAGAGGAGAGTGTGACTGTGTACTGCCCAGGGGAGTTGAGATTCGTTTTCCCTCTGAGAGCAGAAGAGGAACAACATGAACAAGGATGTGTATCCAAGAACTTGACCTCAGTGCAGCGCTTAATGTGTCTGCTGGCCCCAGAATTGTGTAGTCTTCTTCAGGTTATATACAAGCACTGATGACTTTATTTCTAAATTATTATTTTTTTCAGAGAAAATCAAATATTAACATTGCTTCACATGTGTGGGACCACACCTCTGTGAAGGAAATAATTACAACAGCAAAGGGCCTGGACACAAGATGTAGTTCCTGGAGGACTTGACATAATAATAGAGAGGCTAACTAAGGGGAAGGCATTAACAATTTTTGTGAACAGTAGGACAATCAGCAGCCCCCTGTGACGGCTTCATGACCTTACCAGCCACGGGCCTGCCTGAAGGAAGTTTGTAGGTCTGCCGGGAGCACCAGTGGTTCCAAAATAGCAAGTCATTCTCCTGACCAGTGGGAAGAAGGAAGATACAGAGATTTTTGTCAACAGCATAAGAGAGTTGTCAGTAGGGCGGCTATGATGATGCTGGGAAATTAGTGAAAGAGTAGCTTAGCTAATTCGGTCTCCACCTATGTAAGATCTGAGAGCATGGTGGAACCTTGACAAGAGGTTAGATGAGTTCCAGGCAAATCTAGCTGGTACAATTTAAAATGGTGCCGTTGTATGCCTTCAGTGGGGACTGTTAGAGACCAATGGAGTGGAGTGTGTGCACTCAGCTCACCTCAGCTGTTTCCATGCAAAATCCAGTGACTGGAGATGAGATAAAATGTGCTTTTCAAAGCGGTTTTGACTAAGCTGTGAAGGCGCTGAGGTGCAGGTCGGTGTAACCTCTGGTGAGGGGTGGTAGCATCTTAACAGCTGTTTCTCTTGTGAGCACAGGAGTTTGCTGGGAACTTGAGCAAAGGAAGGGTTGAAATGTATGCGATACTATCTTTTCCATGCGTCTTTCACGGAATGAATTTTGAAAATGCGTGTTGTGTTTTGCTCATTTGTTGTCTCCCTTCCAAAGCTTTGCTGGAGGTGTTCTTTCCGCTTCAAGGGATTTCTCTCAGTGGCAGAAATGTCACTTTTGCCATTCATATATGTGTAAAGTTGGTTAGCTTTACTTAGTTTCTTTGTCACAAAAAACACTTGAATGAAAGAACAACAGTAAGAGAAGCAGGAAGTTCTTACATGCTGAAAACCGATTACATTGCCACTGATACTTAGCAGTTTTATTTAAAAATAGCTGGATGTTTCAGAAATGGGCTGAGATTCTCTTTTACTCCAGCAGCACAAAGTGACTATTAAGCATGTTTAAACAGTTGCGGAGCTTTCACTAAGATGACGTAGCATGAACCAATGAATGCCACAGGACTGGCCTGATGGGTCCATATCAAAACACTAACCATTGATGGCATTTTTGTATTACCTCCAGCTAGTGTAAAAGAACAGTCCTAAAGCTTTGGTCTACACCCTGCAGCATAATTCATGTTCAGTATTGCCTGAAAGTCCTCTGTCTGGTAATTGTATGATGGGAATCATGGTTTCAAGGACTTAAAAAAAGCAAAAAAGCCCAACATGAATTTCTTTTGGAAGCTGGCAAAGTCAATAATTTGGCAAAATTCATGTTCTTGTTCATGTCCTTCTCAAGCAAATATGGGACATTTGGTCTGTAATGGATCTTTTTTTTCTGATGCGTAAGAAAGCAATTCATTCTAAAGCCAGCCACAAAAGGCAGAACTAAATATAAACAAAACAATTTGAAGGAAAATGAACGCCCTAGACCAAAAAACATGTTTCAGTGCTCTGACAGCTGTTTGGAACAGGTGATCTGGCAAGGTTGAAGAATGTGAGTTTGGTGACCCAGTGACATATTTAAGCCTGAATACCTTTCAGGACAAAAGTCAGTATGACATACTTTGTTGTGCAACCCAAAAGATGGTGATATATGCCAAAATACTCTGTTGGTTTTTTTTCTGGTTCCCTACAGACCAGTCAAATTTTACTTTGGAAATTGTCCATTAACCAAAAGGACCCAAGCTGTCCCCTTTGGTGCATTTGTCATGTATCAGAAAAAAAGACAAAGACAAAAGAACTGCTTAGTGCTCTCCAGTACATGCAGGCAGGATCCAAGTCAAGACTGTTGATGATACAGATGATGCTAAAAAACAACGGTCTGCCTTTGCTCAAAGGTCCAGCACCCATACCAATTTCGGTCTCCAAAGGATTTGATTTGCAAGGCAAGATATCTTCAGCGTTTTGATCTGAAATGGCATTCTCAAAGAAAATCAATAGCAGGTTGAAGAGTTGCTCCAGTGCAATGTTTTCAAGGAATCTGGATGGCCAATATTTCCAGGTATTCCTTTAAAAAAGACCCAAACAACTGACTGTGTTAGTTAAGGATAAAAGCTTGACTGTTTCTAGAAAGCTGGTGTATTTAAGATCTAGTTACATAAACTGCTTAATGTGAAATTGTTCTAATAAAGGTTTCCTGAGGGTGGCAGTTCAGTTTAGTTCTGCTACTCTGAGTACAGCTTTAGCCACAAATGCACTGCAGATGTATATTTAAGCAGCTGAAGCTAGTCTCCTGGCAGGTATTTTGAATAACACACCAGAAGAAGCATTATCTTGTGGTGTAGCCTAGACATCATCACAAATTACACTTATCTCCGCCAGAGCATCTGAGCGGCTTCGGGGGGTTAAATACGAGGCTGGTACCTGGGGAGGGAGTAGTGCAATCTGCAAACATGGTCCAGAGTCTTGTCAGATCAGACCCAGACCAAACTTCCTTTCAGAGAAATGCTTAGAGTCAGACCTGGGCATTTTCCAGTGTAGTCCATGACCTTGCTCCTTTTTGGAGCTTATTCCTGCATAACCACTGCAAGCTGAGTGACACTAAGAGTCTTAGGGCCACCTTGCCATCCTTAAAGCTGTTCTCCAGAGAGGACAATAGTATGTACCATGTATTTGTATATGCATATTATGCATACATATTGGTACAATGTGTACTCAAAAGCTGACTATTTTTTTCCCAGTGGGGAAACACTCAGTGAATGACACTTATGTTTGAATGGGAATATAGCAAGCTGCGGTTTCTGGTCTTTGCTAAGTCTGCTAAATGCCACAGAAGATCACATTAAAATAATTGAGAGTTTGTATCTTGCAGAATTAGGTCTTTTGTGAAGCTTTGGTGATAGAAGACATATTATTGCCAGGCCTTTATTAGTCTGGAGGCCTTGGTCTGTCTCTGTAGCTAATGCCCTAAAAAGCTCCCTTTATAAAGTTGTATTTTGGAGCACAATATGATTTTCTTGGAAATCTGCTTTCAGTTTTCTTAGAAAAAAAAAAGACATAAAGGCAACAGCAGTTGAAGACACTC